AGCTGTGCCACTGGGGGCTTACTGGTTTAATAAATGAATTGCTTATTAACTTGTTCACATTTACAAACTAAAAAAATTAAATAGTTCATGAAAACTGCTGTTTCAAGAATTTTTGATTTTGCATGACTAAACTTCATTGGTGCTTCCTGATAAGCCGAATTTGGTCTAGTGGTTACGCACCGGGCTGTGTATCGAAATGTCAGAGGTTCGTACCTCGTTGCTGCTGAAACATGCTCCGCACTTTTAGCTGTGGTGCGATATAAGATTGACAGTCAATCCCATTATTTGATACAAACTCAGAAAATGTCTTTGTTATACGGATGATGCTAACTGGCTGCCTTCCCTCTGATCAGTAGTTCAAAATTTGTAACGGTTAATATTGAACTATAGGGGGTCTCTAACCTGACCGTTTTTAAGGTGCCGTTCAGTTTGAAAATGCCAATACTTAAGTAATTTTTACAGTTGTTTAGATTTTAACAGTGGTTCTCTGAATTATTACAAAGTACACCTACAGTTCGATAAAATGACAATAGTAACAACTATTTCCTCAGATTAAGTATGACTATCTGGCTATGTTAGTTTATAGTACATCGGGGAACAGTTTTTCTGTGCAGGGTGGTCAAACAGTGGTGCAAATGCATCTCAAGGAGACCGTAGAGCAAAATTACTAGGGGGCCCTATAACTTATGTGGAATCCACAAGAGGCTCGTGGGTCCGTGGGCTTGATCCAACTAATAATATGGGTAGTTGCGCTTATGTGGCCTAAAAATGATAGAACTTGAGGACATGTATTTCGAAAACATCAATTTGCTGACAGTGTCTATTCAGATAACATACTGTAATGATAAAAGTAAATGAGAACGGAGTAGGTCTTTCAAAGAGATTTACTTCATTGTGGGAATTGCTGTTACCAACATTTCTCTAGTGATAGCGGAAATGATACACTCACAAACGCACGCGCGCATTACATTTATGATACATCAGAGTCCTATTAATTTTGGGCCACTCTATATATTAGTATTTCTGTAAAAATGTATGTACATATTGGTCGATTTTATTCAGTTTTATTAGGTATCAGTGTTGTTTTTGTGTTTCCTAAAACTTAATGGCGTGCGACAGTAAATGTGTGTTAGTCCTATTTTTTGTTTAAACCAAAGTTTTCACTTAAAACAAACAAACAAAAAAATCAGTTGTTGTTTTTATTCTAACACTAATATCGTTTCATCCGAGCTTGATAATTTTTTACGTTAATCATCATTTGATGTGATATGTACAATATTAACGGTAGCTACAAGATTTTAGACGATAAGGTTTCTTATGCAGGACTTTAAATAAGACAAAATAAACTATCTTAAAGCAAGGCTAAAAGAATAATCTAAGCGAAACGTAACAAGTATCAATTTTAATAAAAACATAACAGGTTATCGAAAGATCTGTATTTAGATAATTTGGGGTTAAAAATATTACATTTCAAAGTCCTTCACTCCAAACGACACAAAAGGATTGTTCTTGACATCTATTGTGTTAAATAAACATCAAAATGGTTAGTTTTAGGGATGTAAACTACTCAGATTTAAGTTAGCCTTATTGGAAATAATTTTAATTTAACAGATTAGACGAAACAAAACTGTTTTTTGAAAACATTTTAATATGATATACTAGACAAAAAATAGAGTGGTTAGAAAAAGCTTATCTTCATATAACACTACAGAAGCATATAGTTTTTTAATTGATATAGTTCAAATGTTGTACTTTTTCATGTCAGAACTATTAAAAATTTTGGGAAAAACTACCAAATTTGGACTTAATATTTGAAGGTGTTTCAATTGGTTAGATCTTCGATCTCTATGCCACGTGTCGTAGATATACGTAAATTTGGTATCCAATTATTATTTTTATCTTATTGTATTTGAATACGACATTGAACATGTTTGTCTAAGGTTTGTACAATAGTAACTTGATAATTTTAGAGGCATCTATAACTATCTGCAGCTTTCCTGGATATTACTCTTTCAGCTATTTATTTCTCACGAATGTTGCTTTAAGTTAGTTTTTTACACTATAATATCCACCTCATCTGTATTTATTATACGTTGTACATGACATATAAAAGCAGCAGTTATATATATATATATAACCCCATGATTCCAATTTACTGTGTTTATAGTGTTTGGAAAGCACGTAGATTAAAAATCAACGAAAGATAAAAATAATATATCCCATAACCCTACCACTTTCAAAAGTTTGACGAAAAAAAAAGGTCTACTTTTCGAATGTTGCTCCTGATCAATAAAGGTTTACCTTTCGAAAGTTGCTCCTGATGAACAAAAGGGTCTATCTTTCGAAAGTACTTGGGTTATAGGGTGTCTTATTTTTGTCCTTATGTGTTTATTTTCCCGAAAGAGGGTCGAAGTCTGCCTGGAAGGGTCATCTGTTTTAACCACTCGCACCACTCTACAGTAGCGTGTTATCTGTCAGTCAGTCAGTAGACACCAAAATGACGTCACGTAAGGGAAGCTTAACGTTGCAGTTTGTACTGTTGTGATGTCGGTAAAAGCGCATGCCACGAATCACGAGAATAGTTATGCACTCTGTAGGCTAAAATACAGCTTGACATACGAATTTCAAAAGCAAGAAATAAAAATGTTTGTTACTCTTAATTTTGGTTTTATTTACTCTTGAAACAGAACACTTTCGAGGGCCCTGCGGAAGTACATCTAGTAGGATATTTATTTTTATTAAACAACCAGAAATCTTTGATTACAAATGGAATTCACGTAAACTTAATACTTACAAGGGGTTTCTATATAGGGCGTTACTTTTCAAACTACGGGAAAATAGAATGTATCCTGAGGGGCGTGAGAAAATTCACGAAAAATACGACAAGAGAAAAAAGGCATTACTGCATTCTTCTTTCAAACATTTATAAATTAAGCACAAAGTTACACAATGGACTATTTGTGCTGTGCCACCACGGGTATCGAAACCAGGTTTGTAGTGTAATAAGCCTCCACACTTGCCACTGGGGGGCTTTATGTTACTATGTACTCACATATGCTTGCCTGATTTAGAGGCTTGTTGGATTTGTTTAACTGTAAATGTACGTGGTTGTGTAAGTGGGGGCGTCAAGTTCCATAGGCGAGGGAAGTGTGGGCTGTCTCATGTCGCGAATTATGAGGAAACTGTCCGTTGGAAATAAGTAAAACTATTATCTATCTATCTGTCTGTCACAAAATATTACATACATCTAATTCCTACTCAACGTTATATATATATATGATGAAATTTTAAAAAACAGGCACAACATTTTAGCTTTTTTTTATTTCCACAGTCATATTTTTCAAACTATTCGGAGTTTAAGAACTGAAACCAGTATAACCATGTTTCTAAATAGTAGTTATCTATGACATGTTAACAATGTCTGAAGAGATCTACATTTATTTTGTAAAACACGATATATTAAGAAATAGATAACAAAAATATTTCGATAGAATACGTCGGAATCGAAACATGTCAGAGAGAAATGTTAGAAACATGATTTATAAATTAATTATTAAATATTCAATGGATATCGTAAGTGAATCGAAGAAAACGCAACAATTTGGAAATATTGAAAATTATGATTTTGGTTGCTTATTGAAAAAACTACCCGACGCCGTCCCTAATTTTGAAGTGATAGACTAAAGGGATAACAGTTAGTCAATACCTCCCACCAGGCAGACAAATTCGCATCCTGCAGGTTGTGTGTCAAGAGCTCTAACAACTAGGCCATGCCATGCCAGATAAGTACGCGATAGAGAATAGAGCGAAACGAAAAGCTTTAGATAAGTTTTAAAAAATTCAAATTTCGTGGGTATCTCTATTTCTAACGGCATTACTTATTGAATACGTTATTAAATTCATTAACGTATTGTGCACGTCAGCGTTTACTAAAGACCATAAATGATATGAAATATCAGTAAACGTGCATGTGAAGTGAGTGTCATTCACGGATCTGTGGCAACATTTTGCGTATTCAATCACATTATATCTGACCATCTCTAAGGTCCGTGAATATCTGTCTAACACTATTAACAAATGATGAACGACTTTAAATACGATCATGATAATTCTTCAATTTTCTTCAATATATCATTCGTTCTCTGCTAATTGAGTCTAAACAATCCAGAATATAAACAGCGAAACGTAATACTGTAAGAGTCCAACATATGATAGAGTAACCAACTAAATCAATTGCTGGTATTTGAAAACGAGTGCGTCCGAATGTCCTCTAACGCTCTTTCCTTTTTAGTTCTTCTCCGTAGAGAATATTGTGATCGATAGTTGCCAAAGAGGGACGGTTGGCTGGGAACCAAAAAGCCATTGATATAGACACTAAAAAGCTATCTCTTCAATAAAAGAAGACATAATTCTAGTAATGTGTCTATATACCTTCGTTTCGTGTACTCAAATGACATAATAGTGTGACGTCAAGAATTTCGTTTTTTTCTTTCTGAATTTTTAAGGGTATTAAATTTGTTCCAGTAACAGAGCTTGTACTGAGCGTATTTATAGTTTTTTTGTGACAATCTCGCCGCTATATGGCGCTGTACAACTGAGCGCATGCTGAGCTGATGATAACGTCACGCGCAGCGACATTCGCTACACGAGAGAAGCATGGTGTTTCTCTCTCTTGCGTCAGAAAGATGTACGGTAGCAAGGGTTGATTCGGGAATTTGATTTTTGAGGTAAATTAAAGAATTACAAGTCTCCCGATTTAGAAAATCGTGTATTTATTAGTTTTGACTTGGGGACAAACTTTGTGCAAACAAATTAAAATCGTTTTATGTGCTTATGGATATTCGTTAGCTAATTATTTAGCACGAGATTCGTAACTGTCTCACGAAATTTTCTGAGTCAGTAGAAGTGAACTGGTAGTGTAAAATTTACATATATAGTTATCTGCTTTCCAAACGATGGCCGTGAGGCTTTGGTTCGCATTTCCAGACTGAAACTGAAACATGGCCACAGCGCTTCGCTGGTTAAAGGGATGGCGTGGAAAAGGGGATCACCCGGAAGATAGCCCGGACTCTCGGCGGGCACTGAACGAGGAATCTCATTTCGGTTCTCCCTCTCCACCGTCTACTTTGCAACATCGAGCCACGGTGGTAGAAAGGGTTGAACTTCGCGATGTCGAGAGAGGTGATCGGCTTAATCCTAACTCCGACCAGTATTACATCGAGCCCCGTCTTAGTCTGTTGGGAAAGCCAGTGGCTTCTCACCATCGACCTCGAGAAACGTGCTTCCGGAAATTACAATGTATCATCTACAACTTCCTGGAACAACCTCGAGCACGTAAAGCTGTTTTCTACCATCTTCTCGTGTAAGTTTCTTTAAATAACGAGTTTAAAGTTCTAACTCGTGTTTCCAGCACGTGTATAAAATAAAAATAGACTAATCTTTCTTTTTCTTTTAGATGTTTTTCTTTCTTTCTTGTTTTTCTAACAATAGTGCCTTGATTTCAGAGAATGTGCATGAGTTACAGCAGATTTGAAAGTGAAACTCCGGACTCGTTTGAGCTTTGGTAGTTACTACCTCTACTGGGACGTTTTCGTTTTAAAATACATTTTAAGAAACTTAAGACATTTATAGACATTTAATAAGGCACAATATACTGTGTTTAAGATAGTATATCTATTAATACTCACTCTCTGGTGATTATGTTTTGATGACAAGTTTTATTATTATTTCTGCTTATTTTCACCATATTTAGCCATGTTTCAACATTTCCGATTGTAAGATTACGAACTTACAACACTTATAGTTTAGTGTGGCTTTGATCTAAAACAAACAAACTTCTCAGCGTTTCAAAACTATTAGACTCAATAACTTTCACTTAAAAATTACAATAGATAATTTTATATACATATTTAATATTCTAATTACTTCACTTCTAGTCAAAGTTTTAGTCATACCTTACATTAGATAGTTTATTGGGAACCAGTTAAATTATGTTTAGCATAAAATTCTTACTTCCGAGCATAGCCTATTGGCGCTTGTGAGACTGATTTAGGTCAGTCATTCCTCAGAAATCTGATAAGGTGCAACCAAGGCTGTACGTTTAGGGCTATTACTTGCACGTTTATACGTTATATATAGTCTGGAGACAATAATCAATAAGTAGTAGGCTTCGAAGGGAAAATGATAATATGGAAATTACAGAGTGTGAAGATCTGAAGTCAGGATGTCGATTGTGAAATATAAAGTTATGTCTCAATATTCCGTGCTGAATGTTCCGATAGATATAGGTAACTTCCAGGTCACATCGTTACATCTATGAAGAAGAATTCGTAAATCAGTTTCTCTGATTTTCTGTGTTCAAGTAAAAAAATTAAATGATCAGTTTCGTTACATTAACGCTTTTGCAGTTTGAAATACAAAGTCGCAGTTAAGCCTAAATGCGCTCTATATTAAAATAATTAGTATTTGAAAACCTGTGTAATACTAATTGAGGAAAATGAAAGTAGTGCGGTAGGTTAATTTAAAAAAAATAACGAAAATCAGGCCGAGAATCTGGGAGAACCCAAAGGGTGTAATTATCTCCCGATTTTCCGAATTCCCACATATAACCCTTTGATTCCAGTGTTGTTGTTTTTTTTTTTGTATAGTTTTGGTTCATTTCGTTTATTTGTGTGCTTAAATCCATATTTTAATTGTTGAAGTAATGCTTAATTTTCATGTTAACACCTTTAACTTGCTGGCAGACGACACTAAAGCACGAGTATGAAAAGGTATGAATATGGATAAATATTTGACAAGATAACTGTAAAGTGATTAGAGTGAAAATGACAGCTTACACGTCTCTAATGTTGAGGAGGAATACAAATCACTGGAGAAGAAAGAAGAGACGGAGTGTTAGAGTACACAAGAAAGTATTCATTCAAATATAACTACTGATTTTCTAATATTGTTACTGCTGGCTACATCCGTAGGGAAGTGTTCATGCTAAGTTTAATAATGGAAAACTGCCTTTGTTATTATTATTCAGGTCATCATTCTAAAAAGGAATACTTCTCACAAAGACACGTGCTACATATACGTTTGTATATATGTATGTACGTGTATTTGAAACATACAATACATGTTAATAATTGTGAAATAATAAATTAACATTTTCGTTGTCCCGACGTGCTTAAAACGTGCCCTAAACGTTGTGGACACAGATGACCACTGGTCTGCTTGGGCTTGTGTATATTCCTCCCTTTTATTCATTGTTTCAAACTTTATTTGTAGTTAAATAAACGTGTGTTCGTTTTTGTGCATGGAGATTTTTTCTTCTACCTCTTTAAATGTTAAAAATCAAAAGAGTTTCCGGACCCAGATCCCAGATGTAAAATCCACTGAGCATTGCTCTTGCTTCCTTCATTTTGATTAATAACGACAGATAATTTGCACGTATATTTAGGTAAGACCAATAAAATAATGATAATGATAATAGCAGCATCTTATCCCTTAATTCTGGATGATTCTACCGTTAGAAAAACTTTTTCGTGTTATATTTTCATTTGGTATTAATATTTTGGAAAATTTAATGATTATAAAGTATATCGATGTACATCATGTTTTAAATTTGCACTAGATTGACAACAGCCTAGTTAGGCCTACGCTAACGAAAATTGTGAATGCTGGAGATACACCACAGTAATGGAGTGCTTTCATCGACACCAAATAAACCTTAGAGATAAAAAACGTGCGCCAATCTATTTATTTAATAATAAATAAACTATGTGATCAAAATGTTATAGCATAGCAACTATATTTCATTGAAAATTAACATCGGATAGAATAACTACTTATTGTTTTTCCTATGGGGCTTAAATGAAACCTTACGAGTTGAATTATATCTTAGTTATAAGCATTTAAACAAACAACACGTCATATTATTTTATATGATCAATCAATATTTGAGCCAAATTATCTCTATGTTTATTTCGTTTCTACTAAGTAATAATCACCTCTGTATGAATTACATCTTTGTCATTCTGCCTGGATCTAACCTCACGATTTATGTTTTTACTTTCACATTTCATTTTGGAAGTATTGAGAAACCGACAGGCTGAGTCTTAAATTCACAAAAAAAATATGCAAATTAACAGTTCTGTAATGACTTTCATTGTTTCGTGGAAATTTGGTCAGCTGATAACATCAAAATACGTAACGCACGTACTCACTGGGTAATGGACAGTCTTCATAAACTCTATTGGACGAAGTAATTACCATGCGTGCTCGAGCTTATATTATCTAGACGGCACCTTTTGCGTAAAAAATATGGACTGCTACATGAAAAAAAAAGCTTGTATATTTCAACAAACAGGCGCGGAAAACTTGTACATTCGTTCTCTCAAAATTATCAAAAATGTTCTTCCTAATTATTTCAAAACGATTTATTATGAGATACACGTTTGGTACTTCCTGAATTAAAAAAATTATAAATTGAGTGAATCATTGCAGCAAAACATTGATTGTTCAACAGCTTCATAAGTTTTAATTGAATATTCATTGTCTGTAGAATATGTTTGCTATCGATGTCTTAGTTTGTCTGTAAATTTGAGAATCATGTTTCACCTACTTATGTACGAAAAAAGTACACATTTCTTTTTTTTTTAACAAATGACGGGATTTTCACTAAGGTTTTGGGTTCACCGGCTACAAGTAGTCTTGTATCTTACAGTTCTTTTAAGAATATACCCCCCGCTCTCGCAGTGTTATAGCGGTATGTCTGCGGACTTACAACACTAGAAACTGGGTTTCGATACCCGTTCTGGGCAGAGCACAGATAGCCCACTGCATTGCCTTGTGCTTAACTTCAAACAAACAAATATAATGATACAATAATCTCTCAGTTCATAGCATACGTTTTCATTTGTAATAATGATTCATTTTTCATAATAATGTATCAATTCTGACTGACTGTTTAAATTACATTGGATTTCAATGTTGTGAAATATTAAAATCATATAAAACATTTATTAATGAATATAAAAATCAGTTTGAAATGTTCTTAGAATACTTTGATAGATGATTTTTATGGGATTGTGAAAAACTTTTTCTGGCGTCTGTTATTTTTAAGGGTCGAGGGAAGTCGTTAAACATCGAACTATATTAGAAAGAAACATAGTTGTTATTTTCTTATTTTAAATTCTTTTTTAATATTAGGATTTATTATTTTGTGTCAAAGGGGGGAATAACTTTCCCACATCTGGTCGCGAACAGTAACTGGTAGTGGAATACAGGAAGTTGTGGGTTTAAGCATCTGTTTATTGTTTTTCTGTATTAATTTGTTCTACCGTGTTAACGGACTCGTTTTTTATTGAGCATTCTGAAATATTTCTGGAGAGACGTCATGTTACCAACGTTTTTTGGGTGCTATGACTTCAGTTATCTTACTTTAAAACTGTAACATTTATATTTTTACATTTAGTACAACTTTAATGTTGTATGATGATTATATTCGGCGCGATTTTGGTTTTCTAATAATTAAAATGATTTATGTTTTCATGTTATCTTTTTATGAAAATGTATGCATATATATCTATATATGTGTGTGTGTGTGTGTGTTATGTGTTACCAAAAGTATTGGGGTAGCACACTTTCACATGGGAAAATATGTTTCGCCAATGAAGCGCCATTTTAATAGAGTGTGCCCACAGTCCATTATAAACACTCATCAACATGAATCTTTGGTTCGTGCCAACCCAGGCCCCGGGGTCAGTCATATCATCGGGTCCCCCTTTCATTCTATTTATTAACTTTTACTGATTTTTCATAAAATAAATTTAGGTGACAAATTTCTTCATGAATCCATGAAAAAAGCAGTAGTAATTTTAGCTCATTAAGTTATTTGCATTTCTAGTGAGTTTTGGAATATCCCACTGCCAGGACCCTCAACAGACCCTGGCGCCCGGTGGCAACTGCCCCAGTTCCCCCCTCTCTCGTATGATGAACTTTCGGGGTTTGCTTTTTGGCAGCATTCCAAAGCGAAGGTGAGTTTTGCCATGGGATCTGGGTTGGGGTTTTAGCTGGCTGAAGAAATATCTGGAAATTATTTGTGTCAAACCATTGCTAGGCACACCGTACGGAATAACTGAGTGCATTATAATTCTGAGAGACGTGTAGGCTTTTTACTCTTAAAAATTCTCTCGTGGCATTGTCCAGAATGTCATAATGTGTCAAGGCATTCATAGCTTCCTTAAATATTACCAAAATATGAAGTTTCAACCAGCTAAAATATGACCACATAATACTTGACTCGCAATCTGAGGGTCGCGGGTTCGAATCACCGTCCCATCGAACATGCTCGCCCTTTAAGCCGTGGATGCGTTA